ACCAATCGTAGGTTTCCATCCCACCAATCGTAGGTTTCCATCCCACCAATCGTAGGTTTCCATCCCACCAATCGTAGGTTTCCATCCCACCAATCGTAGGTTTCCATCCCACCAATCGTAGGTTTCCATCCCACCAATCGTAGGTTTCCATCCCACCAATCGTAGGTTTCCATCCCAACAATCGTAGGTTTCCATCCCACCGATCGTAGGTTTCCATCCCACCAATCGTAGATTTCCATCCCACCGATCGTAGGTTTCCATCCCAACAATCGTAGATTTCCATCCCGCCAACAGCTGTGGGTTTGATTCCTTCTGTAACAAAATGGCCGCCCCCTGACCCACTAGGGGTCACTAACAAAATGGCCGCCCTCTGACCCACTAGGGGTCACTAGGGTTACTATAGAAACGGAACAAACTCTACCGTCCGCGGTTGACCTCTGACCTTTGACCTCTTGCGTCTCCGTCTCCAGATGCCCGAGGCCTCGCTGCAGGCCGGTCAGCGGAGCGGCGGTGCCAAGGCAGTGCTGCCCCCTCATGCCCTGGCCCTGTACCAGCAGCAGATCACCATGGCTCACGGGGAGTCGTCCCAGGAGGCCAAGCAGCAACAGGGGCAACAGCAACAGCAACAGGGGCAACAACAGCAACAGGGGCAACAACAGGGCAAACAGCCGTCCTACTCCTCACAGATGGACCGAGACAGGGAGGCGTTCCACGGCAGCAGTCCCCGTGTCCGTCCACGCAGCCCCTCCAGTGACAAGGACGGTAAGGAGTCAGAGCCGAGGGTTGTGGGTTCAAGTCCAGGCACTAGTAAGACACCGATCAGAGACCAGTAAGACACCAGTCAGAGACACCAGTCGGAGACAAGTCTGAGACAAGTCCAGGCACCAGTAAGACGCCAGTCAGAGACACCAGTCAGGGACAAGTCAGGGACCAGAAAGACACCAGTCGGAGACAAGTCAGGGACCAGTCAGGGACCAGTTGGGGACCAGAAAGGGACCAGTCAGGGACACCAGTCGGAGACAAGTCTGAGACAAGTCAGGGACCAGTCAGAGACCAGTCAGAGACCAGTTGGACACCAGTCAGAGACCAGTCAGAGACATCAGTAAGACACCAGTAAGACACCAGTCAGACACCAGTCAGAGACCAGTCAGAGACATCAGTAAGACACCAGTAAGACACCAGTCAGGGACCAGTCAGAGACACCAGTCGGAGACAAGTCTGAGACAAGTCAGGGACCAGTCAGAGACCAGTCAGAGACCAGTAAGACACCAGTCAGAGACCAGTCAGAGACACCAGTAAGACACCAGTAAGACACCAGTCGGACACCAGTCAGAGACCAGTCAGAGACACCAGTCGGAGACACCAGTCGGAGACCAGTCAGAGACTGTGTTGCTGGTCCGTCCTCCGTGTCCTCACCTCGGGCGTGGCCTCTCTGGGACAGTTTCTGGGACAGTTGTTGACAGGAAGTGAATAAATGGTCCTGAATCGACCTGGAAGGAAGAACCGTCCCTGCTGGAATGTGGACCAGTGAGGACGAGGAGGAGGACGAGGACGAGGGACGAGGAGGAGGAGGAGGACGTGATGAAGATGATGAAGTGACCGACCGTCCACTGTGGACTGTCGGTCAGGGACGTCCATCATACAATAGAATATAGAACACTGCAGTAGTACTGTAGTACTAGTACTTTAGTACTACTGCAGTACTACTGTAGTATTTTCTGTTGTTTTGGGTGATGACGATGGAGTTACTGAGTTACTGAATGTAGTACTATAGTGCAGTAGTACAGTTCTACAGTACTAGAGTAGTACTGCTGTAGTACTGCTGTTGTTCTACAGTACTACTGCAGTACTACTGTAGTATTTTCTGTTGTTCTGGGTGATGATGATGGAGTTACTGAGTCTACTGACTGTAGTACTATAGTACTATTGTAGTACTGCTGTTGTTCTACAGTACTACTGCAGTAGTGCTGTAGTACTACTGCAGTACTACTGTAGTACTACTGCAGTACTACTGTAGTTTTTACTGTTGTTCTGGGTGATGATGGAGTTACTGAGTCTACTGACTGTAGTACTATAGTACTGTAGTGCAGTACTACCAGTACTACAGTACTAGAGTAGTACTACTGCAGTAGTACTGTAGTACTATGTTACTGCGGTAGTACTACTCTAGATCTGTAGTATTGTACTATGGTACTACATTCAGTAACTCAGTAACTCCATCATCACCCAGAACAACAGTAAAAACTACAGTAGTACTGCAGTAGTACTATGGTACTGCAGTAGTACTACTCTAGATCTGTAGTACTGTACTATAGTACTACATTCAGCAACTCAGTAACTCCATCATCACCCAGAACAACAGCAAATACTACAGTAGTACTGCAGTAGTACTATGGTACTGCAGTAGTACTACTCTAGATCTGTAGTACTGTACTATAGTACTACAATCAGTAACTCAGTAACTCCATCATCACCCAGAACAACAGCAAATACTACAGTAGTACTGCAGTAGTACTATGGTACTACAGTGGTACTGCAGTAGTACTACTCTAGTACTGTAG